ATCTCTGTACCTTCTTAATTTTTCTGTGAACCTAAAACTAAAGACTAAAAAAAATAGTCTTTATAAAGAAAAAAAGAGGAAAAAACAAAATGAACAGAAAATAACTCCCCAAAACAAACATAAAAAGATCATTTCTCTCCAGGGAGGCAGAGCACACCTTTCAGGCTTGGGTGTGGCAGAGTCCTCTCCCTCTGTGAGCCTCGAGGGAGGGGCATTCCTCCAGCGCCCACGAAGGACGCTGGGCCTGGCCAGGATCTCATGGTGCTGATGTCCCTGCACTGTCCACCACGGCAGGACTAGCCACACGGAGTTATTTAAACTTAAATGAATAAAGCAGAAAACTGAATATTCAGTTCGCACTAGCCTCATTTCAAGTGCTAATGGCTACTGTGCTGGACAGCACCGGTTTGGAACATTTCCATCGTCTCAGGAAGTCCTACTGCTGGCTAGCACTGCTCTAGACGCAGCCACCGGGACTCACCTGCGGGTTGAGTAAAATCACAAATCAAGAATGCATGTGGTTCGGGACCCCCACTCTCAGATTCCGAATGACACCTGAGCAACCCACACCGTTTCCACAGGGACAATTTCCAAAGGCAGAGGCCCGCGGCTGGGCTGGGGCTGGAGAGGGCTTGGGAGGCGTGGTAACTGCATCAGCGACTGAAAAGCAACTTCTCTTTTGCAATCCTTGCTGGTCTGACAGGCTCCTGCAGAATTACATCACTTCCTAAAAAAACAGGCAAAAACTTCTCCTTCAAGTTAGCACCTACCCCCAAATCCAGGAAACTGGAAATGTTGACGTGTCATGGAGGCTAAAGCCAGCCCAGCATCGTCCGCGAGGGAGCGCCCAGGCCAGCTGACAATGCTCTCCGTGCTGCCCTCCTCTGTGTCCTGATAAACGCTCTCTTCCTCACTGGCCGGGCTCAGGGTAAGCTCTATTTTTATGATTTAAGAGAGAAAGGAAGAGGGAAAGAGATAGAAACATCAATGCTGAGAGCGAATCATTGATTGGCTGCCACCTGCAGGCCTCCACTGGGGATGGAACCTGCAACCTGGGCATGTGCCCTTGACCAGAATCAGTCCTGGAACCCTTCAGTCCTCAGACCAAAGCTCTTCCACTGAACTGAACCTGACAGGAATAGCATTGTTCATTAATTCATCAAAACGTGATCATAAACAGTAAAACATATGCATTACACAGATTTCCCAGAGTCCACAAGACATTAAAGGACTTAACTAAGCATTTGGGTGGCTCAGATCACTGTCCATTATGGCATGTTATTCTCCTGTTTCCCTCAAGTTCATAGTAGGCCTGGCATTGATACTCCACTGAAGACCCGGGAGCGTAGACTGCTAATGGATACGTGGTAATGTCTCCATTGTCAATAGCAGGAGGGGGCCCACATTGTCCTGTGGGCTCTAAGAGAGGATATTATTGATTTATTGAGTGAGCAGTTGATTTTAAGGGAGCTGC